CATATTACTTTCCGTTCTTAATCTTAAAGCAACAGTTCAGGGAGGGTCCGAAAATTTCAATGCCACTACTACTGAGGGATACACGAGCCCTAGTGAAGAACATATGCAGTGGAAATAATAAACGAACTTACCTCAGAAACTCAAAAACAGGGTGGAAAGTCCCTCAAACATGGGTGTTCTTGGGGATTTCCCCAATCCCGCCCCCTTGCCGGCCGTCATTGGACGCGTCGGCAATCGTGCTCGTTTTGGGACCACAGGGAAAATTGATTGAAAAATGGAGCGCGTTTACAGCGGGCACGTTCAGACAACTCGTCCAACGTGCGTCTTTATCCATTGCTGAGCGGCAGAGGGAGAGTACCTGTCTAAGACCCTCCCCGACGTTTTTTTCCAGTTTTTCATACATTAATCGTCTGGTTTTCATCTACAACTTCATTATTGGTGGTTTTTTCCCGCGAAACCGTTCCTGAACTGTTGCTTTAAAGCACACACCCACAGAAGACATATAGCCATTATCTCAACCCTATTCAACGGGAAGAGAAATGGTCCCAATTGTCGTGATTTTGACAGACTTATCGGGCTTCCTGATCGCCGAACCATTTGGTGCCTCTGATTTTATTTATATTTAATCAACAATAAATTATCGTGATCGCTGCATTTAGATCACTTTTTCGTACTCGCTGCTTTGAGTTATGCCCGTTTGAGAGCCGTGTTACACGATTTGATGGTATCTACACACGACTATACACACAAAATCTGTATCATATTCAAGGTATGCTGAATCTCCGTGCTGCTGCTGTTGGCGTTTCTCGCAGTAGCGATGTCGTTCGGAATCTTTGCACGACCATCGGCAGTCAATAGTGACATCGTCCGACAGACGAAGTCAAAACCCGGTAATCACTAAACTCTGTCCCAACCTCAGGTAAATTTGGTATTCCGTACATATCAATCTCTTGAATTCTCCCTGCAAAATAACCTGACGGCGGAACCCCGAATGCTTAAAACAAGTTCAAGCTGAACCAAAGGATTCTACCGTCATTTGGGTGTAATGAGGGGAGAGCCACTTAAGTCTGGAGTAAACTGTTAAATTGGAAACTTCATATATAAGAAAAAGCAATTTGCCTCGATTGTGGGAAATCATCAAGTATTGTGACGAAAAAGCAAAGTTGCTTCCTGATCACCACCTATTACCCTTACACCTTCAACATTTCTCTGTGTTCGTGGAAGGGGGGGGATAGAGCAGAGAGGGGACAATCACCACCATTAGCGGTCCTCCGTTCCACAGGTATTTTTGCCATTTCGATGATGTGCTAAATCCGATTTCAATAACTTTTTGTAGCTTGCCGATCGTGAAACCAGCATAATGCCAAGAAACTCCTAACCACGATGATGTAAAAACAGGCACTTCAATTCAATAAATTTACCCTTCGCTTCTTACCTCTTTCTCCTGTGAACATGATGAAATCCCACCGAATCAGTTGCAGAGGCTCAAACGAATGTAATACCATTCACTTTACCTTTCAAAACCAAGACAAATGGATAGGGAAGACGCGGGGGTAGGGGGGGGGAAAGCCGGGTAAAACTGAGCATTCGCCTTGATATCTAGATGGGCAGACACCTCTTAGAACCTCGAGATTCGATACCACCCTTTTACATGAACAGATTCATTATGAGCAAGGAATTCGTGATGCAATTTCAAGTGCGACAACGAGATCGCGGAGCCAACAAAGAAGGGCACAAGATTTCTTTTGAAAGCCAAGGAGAGGTGCCTAGAGTAACACTCCTCGACCTACCTCATTTCCTCGGAAATCCCCAGTTTCCGAATGTTAGGGTAGCTTTGGTAGTCTAGTTCCTAGATTTCAGATAAGTCACCAATTTTCTCAAAGACAAGTTAGTCGATATAACTTCAAACTGCCATTGTTTTCGGATCTGAAGGCAGAATCAAGACTTGAACTTGTCTTCTTCTTCTCTTCTCACTATTCGTTATTCTGCGTGCAGCGCAGGGTCGGCGAAGCTTGAACATGTCCTCCTCCAGCAAATCTTCGAAGTCTTCTCTGAATCCTTTTTGGTGAAATGAACATCCCGTCTACTACTTTTACAAATGAGTTGGTCTTCTACTAGCGACGTACTAGCATAGGAACTATTGGCTTTGACCGTTCTGCCGATAACTCAATGCAATTTCAGGGTTTCTTCCCCGAAAAAAAAAATCGCCCGCGTCACTTTTTTCAAGAACAAGTGCATCTAGAATAAAATCAATTGTCGCTACAGACTGACAATTTAATCTTCCCCTAGTAGGAAGAAATACATTCTGCAAATCCCGCTTCTTTCAGAGTGTCGCTAAAAACTGAGATTTTCGCTTCCACGTAGTAGGAGAAATTCTTCTGCAAAATCTCGCTTCTGTGAAATTTTTCTCACAAGCCTCGAGAAGTCAACCCCTCCGTAGCACATTCCTAAATCTTACTTCGGCCCGAATACATCGGCGCTCACCCAAAGCCATCTTTTCGGCCTGACAAATCAAATTTAGACCGGCCGGCGCCAACAATACTTGTTCTGGGATGCGCCACGCACGTGCACGTGGTTGAAACTTGGGAAGGTTCTCGGACATTAAAGAAACCCGTACAATGGTTTCGGAAAAATGCTTCTATTAACATCTGAAATGACCTTCAGTCAATTGCCCAGAATTCCCATGCACTTTCGAATGTACCTCATGATCACATGTTTCAGGTGGACCATCATTCCTTGACGCATTCAACCTGATCTGCCCGATGCGACGTCGACGACGGAGCATAGATTCCTCAGTGGACGAGAGCAGTTCTCTCGAAAAGACGATGCATAAATGCTGCGACGAAGGCTGCGAATTCGCAGACATTTTCCCCATCTGTAACCCGTTTGGTTAAGCCTACTCCACTAGTATTCAGCGCACGCTTCACGTTGTATGTATTCGTATGATCACTGTTGGGTTATAGATCTCATAAATATTTTGTTGACATCAAATACCCATTTAAAACAACACAATAACATTTATAGCTCGAAGCATAACAAAAACAATTAGACGGTCTCTTGAATGGGAGGCTCGTAATCATCAGGACGATCGACTTTCTCACCATCAGTACCGACCGTGATGGAGTCGCCGTGCATTTCCATGAGGCGTCCAAGGTCAAGTCGGGGTTTCTTCAGAATCTTCACTTTACGGATGTACACGTCTTGCAATGGATACAGACCGTGGCATGCCTTCTCGATGTCTTTACCGATTGAGTCGGGGATCAACTTTGAGCACACCTCCTTCAAGTCACAACCAGAAACCTGCAACATTATAGGTATAAGATGTCAAAACGATGAGCATTTCCAGAATATAACAAGAAAAGGTGCGAACATGTGTCTACTTCAAACGCCATTACCTCCGCATAATAAACGATTCATGACTCTTGCCGACTTCGCCCATCGCAAAGGGCCACGAGTGGATAAAAAAAAGTATTGAAAGTTCTATCTTAACGCATTCCGGTAGGGCGGGTGAGCGCGTTCAGAAGGGCTTAGTAGGTACACGGTAAATCCTCACAAACTCGTATCTTCTTTCCCTAGCATTAATCCCACGCCGCTGCAGGGTTCTCTGCCTCTGCAACGGAGCAGGATTAACAGAATAACTCTTATACCAATGGTATCCACCACATCTTATTCTCAGCTCAGCGTTTGGCATTCGCAGGGGACAGGCTACCATGCACTGGAGAATCCCAAGCGCAACTGCAAGCTGTAGCATTGCATCCTCAGCAGGAAACTCGAACCACACCACTGCTTTTGACCGTCTCCAATTCAAAATTCAAAACATGGCGTACATTCTCAGAAAAGCCATCTACACAACATATTTCAATTTTCAAACTATTTTGAAGATTCCAAAATCATAGAAAAACTTATTGAACCAGTACTATGCACATCTAAATACTATTACGCCTCAGCCGCTAGACGTATAAAGGTAAGCATTCTTTTAATCCCACTATAGTCCAGCTTATTGGTACAAATCCTAACAACCAATTTGCTGACCTAAGCTTGACTAGTGTGTTAAAGCCCTCCATTGACTAAAAATTATACTTAAAAGGCGGTTTATAAAATAAAAAACGAGAAGCAGTCATCCGTGCTTGAGGTTGCAAAAGGTTAACCATTTCTTCAAAAAGGCGAGGGAAGGATCGTATTTGAAGGTAACCCACTTCACTTGGGGTGGTATGACGGGACAGGGGTGTTCCATTTTTGAATCGGTCGAACGCGACCATTGATCCAGCACATAACACTACTACTAGCAGGTTTTATAATGGGTTGATTGGTCTGAGTTGAGTTTGTGGGAATTTTCGCACAGCAGTGAAGATTCAATCTTGCAACGAATGAACTAGTGGTGAGCAAATGTTAGCCTTGAGTCTCAAACTTCTCGTATTCAACCCAAGTATAATGTTTAAGTAAGTGGAGGGCTAAAACCAACTTCACTATGACACTTATTCATGAAGACAAATAAAAACTATCCCGCGTGACAACCGCGTTCCACCACCAAACTATCTCCAGTGGACAAAAAAGCAGCCAAATTCGCTTCTATACAATGGGAAACAAAGCGTAGCATCACTAAATTTTTTGATTGCCGTATTTTAGGTAACGAATCCCGTCATCAACAGAACTTTTCATCCTGACTGCGCAAACATCAGCTTGTGCCCCACTCTTTCGCAGACAATCTTTCCGAAAAGCATCAGTTTCCTTCGGAATATAATGGAATCCGGTTTCCTCAGGATTATATAAACGTCAACTCACGATGAAGATTGGGCCGAATGGGGATAAAGATCCTAATAATGAGGGTTGACAGGATGGTCGCACAAAGACACCAAACGATCAAAGCATTTGATATAGTGGGTAGTAGTGCAAATCTGACAGTGGTCAATCACGCGAACAGGTAGAGTAAGCAAGCATGTAGAGTATGTAAAGGAACGGTGAAGTATAGCTAATTCGGCTGGAGGTGAATGATAGTGTAATGTTCGCCAGCTTCACGAAAGATTTGAAAATTGAATGCTCCGTTAAGAAACTTTACTTTTGTTGAAACACCATGCAGATCAGTGAACAATCGACAGTTCGACTCATTTCGCTATATATTAGTTGTTCTACCGATCACGAGTTCTGTTACATCAGTGCAGCCTTGCCCAATCTTCGCTTGCTTTTGTATCATAATAATCTATACTAGCTATTACAACTGCATGTGACATACCTTCCAAAAATTTTCTGTCATCCGCTCACATTCAGACGAACTCTCATTCTCTATCACCCACCTTTTATTTGTTATCTACCTATTCTGCGCGGCAATTTAGCGTTTGCAACCGTCCACAATTTCGTAAGTTTCAGAAGTTCAAGACCCTTACAGCTGCTATTTCTTTTCATTCTTCCAAAACCTTCTTCTCTGATACCTCGATCACACGAAACTTTTCAATACCACGATTCCTGCTACCATGATGTACCTCTCAGAAAACAGATACATAAAAGAAGTGAAATAATACAGTCTGCTCCGTTCGAAAGCATACACAAACTGCATCCTGCTTGGCAAACTAGAGAGAGGAAAATGATCAATTTTCGCTTGACGACCGAAATTCATGACAAAGACGAAATTTCCCGAGCCGTTGCCCGAGAGAGAAAATACCTATGTCATGCGACCATAGAAAACCGGCGGCAGCACACTTTACCCAGCAGCAGCTTGGCGAACTGCCATACAAAGCGATCCTCTTTTACCAAGCCACCCAGGAACACATTAACTATGAATGACGACGTCAGCCAACTAACCCGACTCAGGTCAAGAGGAAAAATTTCCCTTGAGCACTATTTGCCGCACAGAAGCAGCACTATTCATCTGAGAACCCCACATCTTTTGATTGATGGAGAATGTTTCAGGGATAATGAATACCAACCAGTCATTGTGCTATTACGAATGAAGTGAACAAATGAACTAAAAATGATATCAAAATCAATTGAGCATTTTTCATTCTGGAGTTTTACCGGAATTTCTTTATTAGGCAAGAAGGATGCCTTTTGACACAATTAAAGACTTGGAGCGGCCTTCGGACATTACTTCTTTTTGCCTACCTATCGATGCCTTCCGCAAAAAAAGTTTTCATTGAATAAGCGGTCACCACCTGGAGACTCCTGTTTCCACAGTACCATAGCAACCATAGCACCAAGAACTACTGAGGATCAGAATGGGGAGGAGGTCTGCACCTACACTGCATTTCCAGAAAGTGGGAGTGGAATTCCCCCTTTCCATACTCGAAAAATAGACGTAGTTTTTTTTGGAGATTTGGACAGACCCGAACGACTTGGGAGAGTGCAAGGTGAGAAAATAGGGTGAAGTAGAAACACATGATATAGATCGGCTGACAATCTCCTCTCCAGCTAGGTGATGGGACATGATCAGTGACTTGTCAATTTGCACGACCGCGTGAGACAGCCCATACCCCGTTCCTTCTCCATCTCTCAGCCGGCTCCGCACCGCTTACTTGGTTGCTGCGTAAGCTGCACCACACAACACTTTGGTACGTCCTACTCTCTACTCAAGCTTTGCACAGTGCGCTCGGCTAAATGCCGGGTTATACAAAGGAAACTGCGAAGAAAACATTCCTCACCTCCTTCTTCATCAGCTCCAGCATCCTGGCTTTAGAGGCCTTTGTGTATGTGGTCTTCTTAACTTGGTTCGGTGATCGTT